TATTATTAATGTCAAAGAATGTAGAGTTTTTTCCTTCAATTCTAAAGCATGAGCTTACGTTTTGCATTGTTAGTTGGGTCAACTTAACTAACTTAACAAAAGGTGGCATTATATAATGTATTTCTTTTCACACTGTCATAGGCTGCTTTGAAGTCAATGAAGAGATAGTGTGTGTCTAGTGACTTTTCTAGAATCTACCTATGTTCGTGAATTTTATGTGCACAATGGTACATTTACTATCATCATCATCAATAGCTCGACAACCCTTTCTGGGTCCCGGCTTTTTCTAGGATTTTCCGCCATTCTGTTCTGTTCTTTATTTAACTAAACATATCTAACATTTAATATAGTTTATTTAAAAATTCCTTTATAAAAAGAATTTTATAAAGGAATTTTTAAATAATTAATTTTTTTGTGATACATGGTATACAGCCAGCTACAGGAATTTAGTTTCCTTGTGCAATTTACTATAGTCTCGAAAATATTAAATTAAACTATAAATCAGAAATCACTCGCCGTAAGTGGTGAAAAGTAGCCGAAATCACGTGCTCATCGTGGATTCTTATTATCTTCTATTATTATTACAATTATTAATATTTATGTCTGCTAGTTTGCGATGGAATTCAAACTTAAAACACTTTAAACTACGACTGGTTCAGGGTCGTATTTAAAATATTTGCACATGTGTATTTACGAACAACTCAATTTAGTAAGTTGTGATATATATTGGAGAAATCTAGTATATCGTATACATTGCAAAAACTGCAACATATATTTGGCAAACACACCAATATCTACATAGAAGGGTTGTTACACAAAAACATAGTGTACCAACCAACAAATTAACCACTTACAGCCTTAGTTACGCATTCTCTAGAAAATCGCCATTCTTTTGATTATCAATATGTACAGATTTTGAAAAAAGAACAAAACTACAACAAAAGATGTATATACGAGATTATTTACATAAAAAAGATCAAATTTGTATCAATAATAAGACCCATAAAAAAGATATTTCTAATATATATCACAGCCTAATAAATTAAGTTGTTATACTCGATTAAAAAAATAATAAAATGAGTCATAGACGTGATCTCTTAAGTTATCTTATAATTTACCTGTCTTAATGAGTTTTACCAAGAAGATTATCAGTAGCGGAGAATTTATTTTTTATTTAGCGTATGGCATATTAAGAACTCATAATTAAAAGCAATATTTTTATAAAAACCTTAATTGCAGTATGACAAACGAACATCTAATATATCAATATAATCTAAAACTCCATCTTCTTAGTTTCTCTTGATGTTCTGTCAATATTACCCTCCTTATCTCTTTACTTCTTTTGTTTGAATTCCTTTTTGCTTTTATTCGGTTTCTGGTAAAATTTTCTTGTCTCCAATGGCTTACGTTTAAAATTCTCGCCCTTACCCGGCTTTCGACCCAATAGTGGACGTGTGGACTTCTGGTACGGACTTTATTATATTCCATTGGTGTTTTGAGTCTGCAATAGAATGATCTATCATATTTACTGTAAGTCCGTTTGGTGATTTCCAGGTGTCTTTGTGTATATCTTTTCGAGCGAAGTTAAAATTATACAATCGATTCAAAAAAAAACTTTTTGAAATTAAAGCATCAAAACTATTTAAAATTCGAAATTTCTCAAGCACCAATTTTTTTATTTTGTTGATCATTCATGTTCCATACCATGCAAGTTAAACGTATTCCAGTCCTTCTGTTGACGGAATTTTTATTTTTTATTGACGCTTACAAAATGAAAATATTTGCTCCGTATATTGTCTAGTTGCAGAAATCTACTGATTCAGGTGTTGATTCATCTGTTGTGTCTTTATTTTGCAGTGTAAACACATTTCGGCATAATGTTAGGACAATGATTAATTCCGTTATTAATAGACTTTTCTCGGTTATTTCTCGATAATTGGGTTTCTTTTTGTTTACTGCCGTAAACGCAATACGTAAAATTAATTGCGGGGAGAATTGTATTTGTAATAACATGATTCATGTCATGCATGACTCGATGTATAACTTCTAAATAAACACGTTTTGACATGTTTTTAGAATATATTATATTCATACCAACCAAACAAGCATTTGCGGTTGCTAGTACTCTTTCTATTTCTTTCTATTGACAGGCTAAATAATTGAATATTCTTCTGAAATAAAAAGAATATACTAATTTAAATATTTTACATCTTTATATAGTCGAATTCCGCTCATCCGCCCAGTCTACACATAATGAATGTGAATGAAAACTTATTTTATAAACTAGATCTAATGTATTATTTTTATTATTATAAGCCGAAATATAATATTCTACTATTACAATGTAAAGTGACCACAAGGAAACATAATGATCGAATTAAAAATTTCCTGGAATACATGATGAGCTCGTGATTTCGGCTACATTTGACCATTTACGGCACGTGATTTCTAATCTATAGTTTCATTTCATATTTGCCAGACTATAGTAAATGTACCATTGGCAGATATTTCAAGTGCGAAACTGAACCGGTCGTAGTTTCAAGTTTCGGCCATGTCTTTTATGGTAAAATATCATTTTTGCATTCCATCGCAAACTAGTAAACAGTGCAGACATAAATATAAATTTAAATGTTTATATAACTAAAATGCTTCTTAAAAATGGCAAAGATAGCCGAAAAGTTTGGGCAATAATTTTTTAAGTTTATTATTTTTATGTATGTACACTAAAAGTTTTGCACAAATAATAGAAAGAAAATATTTTGCGAAAATTAAGCTTTATTGTTTTTCAAAGTATACTCCTTTAAGATCAATACATTGTCGTATTCGAACAAATTCATTGACGAAGCATTTATGCCAGTCCGAAATAGGTATCTTAGAGCTTTTTGTATCCTTTAAATGTCTCATCAGGAGCCTTAAAACTCTTAAAGAATGAAATCTCTTTCAGTATTTCCTACTAACACTAAATCATCAACATAATTTAAGCACCACGGAATTTTATCCTGTAATTTCCCTGTTATCCAACAATACAACAATAAATAAGGACTAAGCGCTATGCCTGGATGGATCCCTACTTTTACATGTTTATCAGTCTCTCCCACACCTGTCCTAACACTGGTCCTTACTCCCTCATGCATATCTCTAACACTCTTTACATATGCACCGGGGACTCCTTTCTTATTGAGCAACTTGTCTCAGGGTCAGCAACCCCCAATTGGAAGTCTTACGTTGCCATGCAACTGTTAAAAACTTTAACATCACACCAACTTTTTAACAAAAATGTAGCAAATAACAAATTTTGTACCATTTCAAATTTTTTTAATTACATATTTAGTGGCTTGACTCATGTACACCTGGCAAATATACCGATGATGGACTTGTTACTCCGAAAACGTTCTGTGGTATAGCCCGAAAGGGTCTTTAAACTATATAGCTGTTGTAAAGGATTTCTATAATATATATAATAAAAAATCACATCGCATCGCATTCTACAAAACACTAAATTTATTAAAACTTCAGTTTTAATTCAAAATTGTTTCAATTTAGGTATAGGGCATCCCATATGAAAAAAGTATTTTCTAATTCTGATAAAAAAAAATATAGGTTGTTCTGTTAAAAAATGAATAATATATTAGTATTGTGCTACCCTGTATAAGAAATAAAAATAATAGAAAAGTTGGTTTTTTGTAAAAGTAAATTACTACCAAGAAGAAATTAAATATTAGCGGTTTGTTTTTAATTGTATACGGTGTTGAATATATTAAGATTTTCACAGAAAATTGACCATAACTTTGAAACTGTCACGTATCTATACGATAGTAAAACCTAATATTATGATAATGAAAAATAAGGAGGATCTAAATTCAAAACAATATACAAGGTATTCTTCTTCTATTATATTTCTTCCTGATGTTTCATCTGCGAATACGGCCGACATTATCAAACGCAATGGGGCAATGGTCGTAACTGCCTGTCGCTGGGTATGCTTCTCGAGAATTTACGCTATTCATAGTCTTGGGAGTCATTGATTCTGCCAGTTGGTTGGAATCGGTAATAGAATTTTCTGTGTTCCTGGGAAGTTGCTTCATACTTTTTACGCTGAGATACACATCGTGTTTAGCTGTAAACCCTTTTCTTTATGCTTAAAGTTGGTCAGGTGTTTTTGGATTTTGATAGCCGCTCCGAACATCCGCGTATAGTAACATGATGTTCTACTAAACAACTGTGGTTTTAATAATAAAACACTAAAAACTTTTGTTTTCAAAACTTCCACATAATTTATTCTCATTACAACTATTTTGGCAGAGTGGCTTTCCCAAGGGATCTATTTTTGCATGCGTTTACATTTTATAGTCTTCAACTGAACATGTTTTTAACATAAGAACTGTTTGTCTCAAGTTGGTCATTCAGAATTATGTCTGTATTTTCTAAATTTGTTAATGTTAAAGATAGCTAAAGTTGATAAAGTTACACTATCTCTTGTGGTTCCAATGTATACAGAACCATAACTAATGGAATTGTGGTAAATTCCTGGAGTAGATCAACAGTTCTCTTGGACCACTGTTCAATCTTAAACTGTCTTGTATCAACCTCGTTGATTTGTAGATCGACTTCCTACTTTGCTATGCAATGCAGCTCTCAACAATATGAAATTCAGATCTTCTGCCCAAACGCATCGAAAATTCCAATTCCGATTCGGGCCAAACAACGGATCAGGAGGGCAGCACACGACTGATGCCGACAAATAGCGCAAATACTATATGAACATCATCCTTGAGTGACGAGAACGATAGGTCACTCCTATGATCACTCCCGCATCGATTTTTGATAATAATTGCTGCGGTTACCAACAAGAAGCAAAAAATTCCAGACAACCGTCTATAACCTCCGAATACAATGTACCATTTTAGACTAGACAATTTTAAACTATTCTAGGTAGTTATAACGTACAAATAGTTTAAAACATTTCTAAAAAAGAAATAAAATAATACAAAATAACTTACTCATTCATGTATGAAACATCATAGCATTGACTAATCAAGGTCATAGGTGCAGCTACAGCCACTGTCAGAAGGTAAGGAGTTGATTGTTTGGTTATGCTTTTCCGAAATTCTTCCAATAGTTGAGTAAAATGCATTCTTTGAAATCTATCAGGTGTGTCCAAATTCGGAAATTCCCAATCCAAATCTATACCGTCAAGTTTATAAGTTTTTATTGCATTATTGACTGATTTTATAAATCTAAAAAAAATAAATGCTAAGACTTTAAATCAAGAAGAAAATGTATATATATATATATACTCGGTGTCATAAAAAGATAGTCACATTAAAAAATTTTTTAATGTGACTACTGTATTTTGAGAATTATTTCCGAAGTGGAAATCGAAACGTCAAATAATTTGATTGTTGATTGGATAATGTGAATGTTAGTTCCGTCGTTGATCAGCTAAATGTAAAAATATCAACATGTTCTATCATTGGTATATTACATCGTTGGTTGGTACCAAACCATTATTTTTTTATATGATATATTTATTAATAAAAACGTAAAATCCATAGTTCCTCTCTAGATAAACACATTATATTAAAGATATGTTGTAATATATTCTACAAAATCGAATACTCTCATCATCCACCCTAACAAATGAATTCAGTCATTATACTCTTTTCTCCAGATCCTTTGCGATGGTACAAGTAGACCCACTGAGCTCTCTAGTTTAAAAAAAGCCCACATCAAAACGGTTACCGCGAAAACCATATCATTAAGATGCCAGCATCAACAGGCATCAATCTCAACCCAAAGACTCAGACCCTCGCCATGCGAGAGCTTTTCTTCCTTCAAAGATCAAAGGTGTCACTGACAAAATCGACAAAATTCTTAAATCAAGAGCAATAAAGATAATATTTACCCCCAAACAAAATCTTTCATCTCTTGTCCAATTAATCAAAGACAACATTCCAAATGAACAACACGAAGTTTATGAAATTCCTTGTGCAGACTACCCCCGATCCTATATAGGCCAAACAAATCATTGAATCCAAAATAGGATTTATGAACATTCCATTTATGTTCGCAATTCCGATTCAATTTCAGCTCTAGGTCAACACCATCTTCTCCATCAACTCAAAACCATCCGCTTTACCCCCATACGGTTACCTTCGACATGGAGACCTCTCATAAAGAAAATATCGTCCACTCCACCCGCCAATCAAAATCCTACTATCAGAAATGTTCGCGCCAACCCCCGCGCTAATCCCGAGAAGCGAAACTGGTTTTGCGGCATGTGCCAAACTAACTTTCTTGACCAAGAAATGAACCGCTGATTACCATGACGAAATAGACGGGGATCTATATGAAAAATGGTTTGAAAAGACGTTAACTCCAAACTTGCTGAAAGACAAAGAAAAAGTTATCGTTTTGGATAACGCGTCATACTACTCCCGTAAATTTGATTTCCCGGAAAAATTGTAAAACAAACGACAAATCAAGGATTGGCTAATCGAAAACAACATTTTATTCGAGGAAGATTACCTAAAAAGTGAATTACTGTATACTACGGTCGCATTTAGAGACGAGTACGACAAGTACAAAATTTAAACAATTGCTGAAAAATATGGCGTTAAGATTTTAAGACTGCCGCTTTACCATTGCGAGCTGAACCCGATTGAGATGGTGTGAAGTCAAGTGAAAAGGTATGTGGCTTCAAACAACGTCGATTTTAAAGAAAAAAACGGTACAACGTTTTAATAAAAGAAGCTTACCTTTTTAATAAAAGAAGCTTACCAACGGGTATGTAAAGAGCAGTTGCATAATTATGTTGACCACGTTAAGAAAGTAGAAGAAAAAGTGTTTGCGATGGACAATTTGCAGAAATGAACCGATGATAATTAATATAGGAGATGATTCAGAGGATGAGGACGATTTAGATATGGATTAGACATTTTTGTACGCACAGTATATTGTATTGCATGTACAGTACATTTCAGGGTGCCGGTTCGGTATGCGGTCTACCGTCTAATATGCGATCTAGGACAGTTTAGCTAACTCGGAATGTCTACGTCTTCCTCAAATAGGTATAAAAACAAATTAGAGAAACTACTTCAAATTCATTACTGGTCAATTAGGAATGCAAAAACAAATTAGGGAAATTAGGACAAACTCACTACTGATCAATTATGTTGTGCTAATATCAAAACTTTTAATGATCTATTTTGGTATAAAATGAACCCCAAAATGAAGATTGATTTAGTTGCAAACAAAATGCTGCTAAGAGAGTTTTATAAAACTGTCATTTTGAGCGAAGCAGAGGCAGTAGCATTTCTACGAACGAATGGTATATTACAAAATGTTGAAGACGCTGGGCCGTGCCACCGATGTGGGTCAGAAATGCAAGAAAAGCGGAAACGAGATCAGGGTGGTGAATATAGACCAGTTCTTCGCTTCCCAAGGAGAGGATGCCAGACAACAAGATCAGTTACGCATGGCAACCGTTTTTTTTCATTTCACCTACTTAAATGGAAAAAGTAACTGCAAGTTAACTTTATGTGATATTTTGGAATTGATGTTCATGTTCATTTTGGAACTCGATTTTGACACAGTAATAAAATTACCGGGGAGAGGAAGAGAAGCTATATGCGACTGGTACAACATGTGTCAAGAAGTCTGTTCCTCTGTGATGTAGTGAATCGCCGTGGATTGCTTCGAGGTACGGAAAAATACCCAATCCAAATTGACGAAACCAGACTTGAGGGCAGAAGGAAGTAGAACAGAGGAAGAAAGTTACAACAAGAGACAACATGTTGTCTCTGAACAACAGAGACCATCCAGAAGAATCAGGAGACAGCGATGCTAAAGCGGAAAATAATCGGAATCATGGACGCCGAATTGACGGTCCGTGGGTCTTCGGATTAAAGATTAAAGAGGAGGTCCGATCTTTTCATATTGAGCGAAGAGACAAAGCTACCCTAGGTGGAAGGGAATCATCACAGAAAGGGAAGTTGAAGCTGGTCAGTAATTCACTCGGACGAATAGTCAGCAATGCCAGCATACTGCAATTTGCACCAATTGGACTATGTGCACTCAACCGCTAACCACCAGGAAAATTATGTTGACTCACAAACAGGAAAATGAGAGGAGTTCTTGTCAGTATTTTGCAGTCCCATTTGGTGGAAAAGTGCTATGAAGAAATGTAAATATAAGTTTATCGCTTTTCTGCAAGATGTTAGAAATGTATATGTATAAATGCCTCTAACTAAATCTTATCATATAAATTTACTTTAAGAAGCCAATAAAAGTTTTGAATTTTCATTGAACTACTTTTACTTTATGCTACTTTACTTATGCTACATATGTTACTTTATGCTACATATAAATATAGAATTTTAGTGAGTCTCTCAACAGCAGTTAATGATAGGTGACATTTCCCACCTATCGAAATTGTGGTAGACCGCATATCAGATGGTAGACTATTAAAATAAAATAAATTCAATACATTTTCCAATATGAAAGATGTTTTCCAAGTATGTTTTCATAATATCTTTCTATTGGCACTGTCATGAGTGCAATTTTTTTAATTTAACAATACTTAAAGTTAAATGCAATGACATAAACAATGCAATAAAGTAACTACGCACCTATGCTTATGCATGATCTACCATATATTATTAACGCCTTCGCTGCAATTATGAAAAATTCAACTATTATGTTGTATGCTTACCAGTTGTAATTGACTGGTACTATAGAATTCTGTATTTAGATACACCAGTTTCAATAGACTGGTAGTTCTTAAGAAATGTGAGTGCAATATATCTCTAATTTTTTAAAGATTTATGTGTAGTAATGGTTTTATATACTTCATCTAATTTAGATAACGACTTACGTCATTATCTACGTCAGAGATCGAAGTTGACATAGTTGCCAAAGTATAAAAAAATCCTGACTCCATTTTAAATCAAATAGGTCACATAATTATTGCAAAAATATTACCATCTCTTTACAACGACTATTTAAATTCTTACGTGGCATTTTTGAAATAAAACACACTAATTTTGTTCTAAAAAGAACAGATTTTATTAAATAAGTAAAAATATAAAACAAGATGTATTCACTTTAAAATTCAAAATAATAAAGTACTAAAAGTGTCAACACCGCAACTGTCAAATAAGTGTTACCAATTTATGCCAAAATTTTACCTTCGTTCGATTACAGTTACAGTGTGTTCCGAACAAATGTTCTTGATAAAAACTCTTTATAATGGATTTATACAAATTAAATGAAACATATTATTGTGTATTTCTTTAAGTTAACATTAATAGAAATTTTTAAATATTATTTCTACGCGTATATAATAAAATATGCCTAGTGGCTGTAATGCCAGTGTACTCGGTAAAGTGATTCTAAAAAGAAAACACCTAAACCCTAAATATTTCGTGTTGGTATCATATGACGTCACAGGCTATGACGCCGATGACGTGCATCGTTATATAAATTAGATGAAGTGTACATACAAACTTGCTGGAAACTGTATCAGTACCAGGCTATTCCTTTTGGTAAAGCAAAAAACTGAAATTTTGAAGTGCATAATATTTTCAAGTAAAATTAAACCAAAACTTTTATTGAGAACAAAATACATATTATTATTACAAAAATAACAAATGCTAATTATTAGTAAGTATAAGTTTGAAAATGCATTGTGTTTAAAATTAAGACATGGTAAACGTAAAGCAGGTTTTTCCTCGTATATGCTACAAGATATAGTAACTTTAATGACCTTTTTATCAGTTTCTTTACTTTTCATTGTTTCCCTCAGCTTCTAAATAATTTAGCCTTTTTTGGTACCAGGTACTTCAGATTTGTTTTCTCGAAACTGATTTTATATTCATCCTTATCTAAATTAGTTGAAGATTCATAAGGAACGTAATTAGAATTATAGTCCAAATTGTAGCTAAATGGTTCTTCCTCTGATTCGCTCAAAGTATTTATAATTGTTTCTTGGTGTAGGTAGGTCCAATTTCTGATTGGGGTCTACACAACTACCATTTGTAGTTGTATTTTGCAACGCCAAATTTACTAATTTAACAGTGCTACTCATTTTACTCAGTTCTTATACAAATAATTTAAACACTATTATAGCTCAACCGAGATAACTAAACTAAACTGGTAATTACAAAGGGAAGTTACTCACCAGATGAATTCATCTGGAAATTCAACAATGAAAAATAAATAACTTGTATGCCTTTCTACTCTAATATAACTGGTAACTAAATTATCCCTCTATTAGATAGATCTCTTTCAGATAATAATATAGGTACCTATAATGTTAGTTTTTACCAATGTGTTTCGTTTGTACAGACATGTATTTATTTTTAGCCTTCATTTCTGCAAATGTAGTTACCAGTCTTTTTCAACTGGTGGCGCAGCGAAGGTGTTATATATTTAAAAAAATTATCAAAAATACTACATACATTTTTCTATTACTGTGATTTAAAACCATCTCTGGAAATCCATTGTCTTGATTACCTGCACCTCCTACACTTATAAGCACCTTCAGGTCTTTATTAACCTCTTTCAATTTCACCAACTTCTTTAAGGAACTTGTGAATGGTTCAGTCATATGTAGGGTCTTGTTAACAACTTTGCCAAATGCAGCATTAATGTGGGTACAGAGATGTGGGTCCAGATCTTCAACTTTAAGTACTTCTTGATCATTAGTGGGCAATGCATAATAACAGACTAGTTTGAATTTTTTAACAGGCAATTTCCTATGATCCCTAAATTGAGGGATGTTTTCCAGACTTTTGTTAGTTAAAGCGCTCCTAGTGTATACACTTGCTCTATAAAAATTCTCCGGAAATACTGAAAAATGGAAACAATAGATAATTAGATAATAGAAACACTATATAGCCTTTCTGAATTTCAAAACAATTTTTATGATAATAAAAGCATGAATTTACAGAAGTCTAGGTGCTACATATTAACACTAACAAATATTAAAAATAAAAAAATGTTAATATTATAAAATAGTCGAATAAAACCAATGAATCATTTTAAAGCAAATATCAACAAGTGACAGTTCATTATTATAAACAATATTAAATTAAAAAATTAAAAAAAGGCCCTTAATATTGTCTATTCAAATCAACAAAAATGGACAACAATATTCATTCATTCATTCTCCTATATAAGATTTGTTCTTTGTGTTATTTTGTAATAATATTGTTATTTTTACATAATCACAATAGTAACATAATCCAATTAGTGTTTATTTATTCAAAATGAAGGACTGCCGACCGATTATTTGCAAATCATTACCTTTAGTAGCAGTTTTTGGATAAACTATATTTCTGTGAAATCCAAAGAGTATTCCATACAGTATAAAAAACAGAACAACAGGTGAGATGAGTATAACTACTAGAAGAGACAGCTTTTTGTGTTGATACCATCTTACCCTAAAATAAAGAATTTAAATAAATACCAAAGTATACATATCTCTTACTTATTTATTACCTGGCATAGGTAACATTATGTGTAGGTAACACAGAATATCTATAAAAATCTTCAGTAAACATGCTGTTGCCAATATTTTTGACGTTTATTTGTAAATATATATTACAACACTATCCAAACAATACTGAAAACAATGCTTTGATGCATTGAATTAGTTTAATTTATTAACTTATAAAAGATAATACTATGTTTATTGTTTATTGATAAATTGACATTGACACAAAAACAACCAACTATGGTTTTCAAAGTTTCAAGTCTATCTGGGTTATGATGATTATAAAATAGTTTATGATTGGTTAAAGAATATAAATATTTACTAAACTTCATGCCTGTGGTAAATTCTTAGCGTACTCCTATGAGTTCTCGACTTCAGATAAAAAATAATTATATGAACAAATGTTACATGAAAATACAGAAGAAGAAAGTTGCAAACTTCACACTAACTAATGACAGCAAGAGCAGATTATGTTGACAGATAAAAAAAATAATAGGGTTATAAAAATAATAGGAAGTTATTGTTGACATTTAGTTCATAGTATTAGTAAATATTTTTTCTATCTATGCATAAAAAAAATGGGAAGGTTGTGTGCTGTACCACATTGTTACACAGGATATAAAAGAAAATCAACTGAAAAAATATCTTTATATAAAGTGCCAGACGATGATTTCTTCTTGACAAAATGGCAGGAAGCTATAGCCAGAGAAGACAGACCAATAACACCTAAAGATTATGTTTGTGAGAAGCACTTTACAGAAGATGACATTATTCGGAAAAGAATTAGAAAAGACGTTGTAGTAAGTAGTAAACTAATTTTAAAATACTATTGAGAATAGCAATATATATAACAAAGTGGTAAATCATATTAGTTGCACCATTTATAGGATATGGTAACACTGCAATCACTGACAAGTCCTTTAAAACTACTATAATATAATCAGATGCTTTGTCTTATTTTTAATGCAAATTATTGATTGAGCTTCCCTACAATATTAAAAAGATTTTAATATATTGTGAATTTAACTCCCATAAATTTGAGCTAAGGCTTACTATAATTCGTCATTTTTCTTCTTAACGTGCCCTGTCAAGTCCCCTTGACGTTGGCGATTAACATGGCGAAACTGTCTCTGTCTCGAGCTATTCTAAAGAGTTGCTCAGCTTTCCTTATTCCTGTCCACTCCCTGATATTCTTCAACCAAGAGGCCTGCTTTCTACCAATTCCTCTGCGTCCTTCGATTATACCCATCATAATAAGTTGAAGAATATTATATCGGTCTCCTCTTACTAAGTGTCTAAAATAGACCATCTTTCTACATTTGATGTTATCAAACAGCTCGCGAGCAGCATTTGCTCTCTCAAGGACTGCCACATTTGTCAGCATAGCAGTCCATGGAATTTTTAGTATATGTCGGTGCAGCCACATTTCAAAGGCCTCCAGACGATTAATGGTGGATATTTTTAATATCCATGCTTCGACACCATATAAGAGGACTGACCAAATTTCGAAGTTGAAGTTGCAAGTTATCATTACAGAAGAATGACCTCATTTTTAAAAATGTCGTGCGGGCTATCTCGATTCTACATTTTATCTCTTAATCTGGATCTAGTTGTTCAGTAATATGGCAACCAAGATAATTAAAACTGGACACTCTTTGAATTATATGACCATCAACATATAATCGTGCATCTTGATGTGCTAAACGGCTAAACACCATGTGTTTTGTTTTTGAACAGTTTATGTTAAGGCCAAACTCTCTTCCCACTGTATCAGTGGCATTTAACAGACATTGTAGTCCATTCATGTCATCACTTAAAATAACTCTATCATCTGCATATCTGATTGTGTTTATCAGAATTCCATTAACTTTCACTCCTGATTCCAAATTTTGCAGTGCTTCTTTAAATATTCTATCTGAATATAAATTAAATAACAGTGGGGATAGTATACAACCCTGTCTGACACCTCTTTGTATTTTACATATTCCTGTTGATTTTCCGTTTATGCAAGCTGTCGCTGTTTGAAGGCAGTATAACTTTTCTATGAATCATATGTCTTGACTATCAACTCCTTTATCTTTTAATATTGTAATTAATTTGTGATGCTGTACTCACTCAATCAAAGGCCTTTTCATAGTCAATAAATACAGCAAAGACGTCTTTCCTTTGATCTCGACATTTCTGCAGTAATTCGTCATTAACATCTCTTTTTTCATGTTGTCTGTGATTTTTTGTGAAAGCACTTTGACAGGACATTGAAAGATCTGCATTTGAGAAGACAATTGAGATGCTTTGGAGGCGCAATGATTTTATTGCTTTGTGATGTGGCCAAACACTGCCAGTCAATCCAAGATCGATTGCTGCTGATGCAACAAATGCTTGACTCAAATCATCAAATCTGATTGAAATGTTGACTATAGTCGGACAATGTTCAATTAAAGGTGACTCATTTACAAATTTAATGCTTCGACAATGTAAATAAGTAAAATATACGAAATAATTTCATAACATTTGCCCACGTAACAATATAAATTGTGCATACCGGTTCGTTTTTTGAGCGTATAGTTGGACCAGTTCAGTTAAATATTTTGAAACATCGGTAAACTTATCAACATTTCGCTTGGCTATATATTTACGTCCATGGAGAAAATAGTAATGAGATGACATATTTGATTCGTTTCACATTCTTATATGTCCATAGGTGGGGTGTGTTCCGTTTCTTGTGCATGTGACTTTCTTTTATATATTTTTTTTAAAATAGACTTTATTATTATTTATTTTTTTATTAATTTTAAAATAGTTTTTGTGGTAAGTAAACAACAAATACATAGCAGAATATTATTATTGATGTTTATTCTTTTTAGAGCTTTAAAATGGATGACGTAGCGGGTCCAAGTAATGTACAAAGAAAACGGAAGTTTATGTCGGTAGAAGAAAAGCAGATTGTCTGTAGAGTGTATAAAAATTTAAAAAATACACTTCATACAGTAGAAGCTGAAGCTCAGAGTTCATTTTTAACGGGAGTATCCGTGTCGACAATAGAACGCATTGTACGTGACAAAAAGGTGACTGGGATTGTGCAAGCTCCAAAAGTACATTGTTGTGGTAGAAAAAAAATTAAATTGGACGAGTACCAGAAAAATTTTGTGCGCTCTACTATTCATTCTTTCTTTTCTGAGAGTAAAGTGCCAACTCTCAAATCCATTAGGACAAAGGTAATGGAGAATGGTATAATTCCAAAAATGAGCAAAGAGATGTTAAGGATAATAATAAAAGAAGATTTAAAATTTATATATGCCAAAAGATCCTGTAAATCTGTCTTAATAGAAAGAGAAGATATAGTCTCATGGCGACGAAGATATCTTCACTTTATTAGAGAGGTTCGTTCTGCCCACAAAAAGATTTATTATCTGGACGAAACGTGGGTAAATGCTGGTCACACAGTATCTAAGATCTGGCAAGATACTACTACAACAAGTTATCGTCAAGCATTTGTGGATGGTTTATCAACAGGGTTACGAGGACCAACGGGTAAAGGGCAACGACTGATTGTCGCCCATATAGGTAGTGAGAGTGGCATTTTAGAAGATAGTGCACTAATTTTTTATCTAAGAAAACGGGGGATTACCATGAAGACATGGACGCCCAACGTTTTAAAAAATGGTTTGAATCCCTTCTTTCACGAGTCAAGCCTAATTCGATAATAGTGATGGATAACGATTCTTATCATAGCCGATTAGTAGAACATCAGTCAACTATGGCCACCAGAAAAGCAAATATGCAGAGTTGGTTAAGACAAAAAGGAATTCCATTTTCCGAGGACATCGGAATTTCAGCATCATGACAGATATCGCCAGCATGTTTTAGATACAATAGCTGCATCACCATTTTGAGACTTCTCCCTTACCATTTCAAGTTGAACGCAATAGAATTAATCTGGGCTTAAATAAAGGGTTACATAGGTCGTGAAAACGTGACATATAAAATTTCTGATGTCCAACGTTTGTTGGACATCAGAAATGATATGTTGTTGAATGGATACGAAAAGAAGATTGGGCTAATGCCGTAGCTCATGTAATCAAGGAAGAAGACAAAATGTGGATATTGGACGGGATGGTAGACACTGTTTTCGACAAAATAATAATAAACTTAGTGAGACTGGAGATTACTCATCGCACGAGTCGCTGTATTCCGAAACTTCATCAGCATAAATTAGGTAATTATTTCTTTGCTTTGTAGTTATCCCTCTATATAAATGGAATATAATAATTATTTTGCAAAGTTTTCGGTTTTTTGAAGTATTGTATTAGGCACCCTATAATAACAATAAAATTTTACTTTATTTTGTTAGACAACTATAAGATAAATTTAAAGCGACGTACAAAGACCGCTTTGACATTTAATGCTGATAACTTTATTGCTAGTCGACCAAGTAAGCGAAGATACCTTTTACAACATCTTTATGTATAACATTTTACTGCTCTGTTGTGTCAATCGGCCCTGCTTAACAAGTTATCGATTCATTTTATTGAAATAGGACCTACGGAATATAATATGTATTCATACAGTGAATTTATTATTTATTTATTTTTATTTTTATGATTTTTGTTTAATTTTTGTGATTTATAATGTAGGTTTACCAACTAAACAAAGTTATGCATTTGCACGAACATATTGTTATTAGAAAAATAAAATTCCATTCACACATGTCATTGAAAAATAATTTATGTTATCTAAATTACTGTTATGGACAAAGAAATATGTGCTACAGCCGCGATATCTGTGAATATCGTATTACCATAAAATTCATATTTGTCATCATATATTACATTTTTGTTGATGGTTAAACATTAAATGATCTTGTATTATTTAATATCTTAGTGAGAATTACATTTAGGCAAATGCACAATCCTCAAAAATGTTATTTAAAGTTTTTGCGAAGTTTTGCACAAAAAATTTTGCAATCTCTGTGTTTAACTTATTGTTGTTATATGATTAATTTGATTTTCTTTTTCTTTCTGTCAAAACTTATTACTATGTTTTCCATGTCTCTTCTATTTTTTATATTTATTTTAGGTTAGTTTGA